TTTTTTTTTTTTTTTTTTTTTTTTTTAGGTGAGAGAAAATTGAGAAGCGATTTTAATTCTGATGTAAAATATGTTCACAGGAAGGTACCACTATTACCACAAATCACAAACACACTGAAAGCAATCCAAAAACTTGTATTAAAACAGATAAGCAGTAACAACAACAGTACTTAAACATAATTAATTAACTCTAGATACAAAATTCACAAGTATGATAGAACAGGTCAACCGGAACCACTAGCATAGCCTATTAATCCAAATGAACCCTAAAAATACATCAATTTAACAATCCTGTCAAGAAAAAGAGATGAATTCTGGAGGCCTAGATCTGAGAGAGATGCACTCTGGAATAAGGGAGGGGTGATACTTACAGTCTTCTCTGAGCTTGACTGCAGAATATCTCAACAGTGTGAGCTGCTAGACTGCTGCAGATACCCCACCTTCAGGACACCAGACTTCTGCACTGCCTAGTTCACCAATCAGGCAGAATGACTGTTGCCCTTCAGGATCGGTTGTCCTACCAGTATCCCTGCCCCACATCCCACCTGGTCTCTGTCTCTCACTGTTTCATAAACTCGGGTCTGGTCTCGCCCTCTGTCTCACATATACAGACACACAGTGTCTCTCTCTCTGTCTCTCTAATACAGAAATAGTGAAATCAAACTGTCTGATAGACCAGAAGTCAGACCAGCTGGTCTCATGGCCCCACCTGCCTTTAAAATCTGTGAAACATGTAGAGCATGTTAATTCTTGTCTAGTCACTGACAGGTCTGATTGTACTTAACTGTGGTTTAATTATGGGTCTATGCAGGATGGGTCTATAAAATCTTTTAAACATTATTGCAAGCACCCTTTTTTATTGTAAAGTAAGCTGATTAATTTAGGGTTTTTTTCATGCAATTGAGTGTGTTTTGAGGGTAGAATAGATTTGGTGGAAGTTTATAATAATGATGTTTTTATTTTAGTATCTAGATAGCTAGCCAGTAGCTAAAAAATCAATTTTTATTTATTTAAAAAATTAAGCATAATGCATTTTACTACCTACAGCTTCCATCATTTCAAACTAAGGTACTTGCTTTCACAGAAATCCTAATGTCAGGATACCATCTGCAGGTGTAATGCTATCCTTGTAATATAAACCCAGTGCAGAAAATAGCAGTTTGTCGCATGATGGTTCCCTGACATCTAGTGGGTGAACTTTGCAACTTCACTATGGGGTGTCTGGGAGTGATTGGCAGTGCTGCACTAATGGCTGTTCCTGCGAAGCAGTGATTCTCAACCTTTTTAGACTCAACGCCCCCACTCTCAGAAAATGCCAGCTCTTACTTTTCAGTTGTTTCTTGACTATGGAAAGTAATAGAACAGTTCTTTTGCAGAACTCAGACCACAGGAAGGGAGGGATATTTTTGATGCCATTAATCCCTATTTGAAAACTCAGAGCTTATCCTGTGTATCGTTGTTTGCACCTCTAACTGTGCTAATGTTACATGGCAACCCCCAGCACCCTTGAAAGGATTTCATGGCACCCTGGTTGCGAATCGCTGCTGTAAAGGCTAGGATACCTTATGTGGAGTTTTCCCAACATTGTATACCTTAGATATTTATTTATATCCTCTCTGAAATAATTCAGGGAATGAAAGAGTGAAGAAGAACCTGAGAAACCATAAAAACCTTGCTCTGTATTTTCGTAGTATTCTCTTGATGATTTTAGCAGTACCTTCTATATGTGCAGTTTGTACAAAGTCTTGCTGCTGAAGTTGCATTTTCATATATTTTACTCAATTGAACTGGACTAGTTTTGATGATATATACTCTATGTATACATAATAAACTGAACCAAAGTCCCAAAGCATTGCATAATAACAGTGATTTTTTTTTTCCTCAAGCATTTTCAGCAGCTTTGTTCAAGAAACCATATTGATTTCCTTCTCCCCCCTACCATCAATAGGAAAGGAAAAATGAGAAGAGATTAATGTTATGCTTCCCAAAGATAATCCCTTCCATTTGTATTGCAGACAGCTGATCCTGATATTAGAACTCTACAACCCTAATGATGTGTATGATTATTTAAGACACATTGCACTAACTCTCTGTTCTGATAAAGTATCTGAAGTCAGGTGGATCTCCTTCAAACTGGTAGGGGTTTTATTCTTTTTTATTTTCGTAACACTTATACAAATAAACTTGATAAGCTTGTCGAAGCGGTAGTTTCAAACAGACACTCTGAACACAAATATGTTTCAATTTTGAGCTGGTCAAATTGTTTTATTTGTCTATAGTTTGATGTGAATTCATTGATATGGTTTGTTTGCTTTTAAAATGACTTTTTAAAATCATAGATTTCTAGAGTTGGAAGGGACCTATTAGATCATTGAGTCTGACCCCCCTGTTCTGGGGGTCTTTTATTAGTCAAAATTGACAAGGGACTGAAAAGTCAAAATAAGACCCAGCAAAACAGCTTTAAATTCTCTTTTTCTCATATGCCTACAGAAACACAGCACTGTTATATTTCTATAGAACGTGTGCATCTCTAAGTAGTGTTTAAGAATGTGATGCAACCGAAGCACCAGCTTTCACAATCTGAATCTCATGCCTGATCTTCTTACAGGTTGTGGCTATACTACAGAAGTTCTATGCAAACAATGCAAATGCGTTGGGATTAAATTTCATTAACGAACTTGTAGTGAGGTTTCGTCATTGTTCCAAATGGGTTGGAAGACAAGCTTTTGCCTTCATTTGTCAGGTTGGAATGCCTTCTTATGTTTATATGTTGAATGTATACATACATATTTGGGAGAGTTTCTAATGCTTCTAAGAAGGAAATAAATGGCTTTCACTACTGAGAAAGGGATATGGAGCCATTGACTTCCATCTTATTTAAATTGACTAAAATCAGTACTGACTGAATGTTACTTATCTTCTGACTATAGCTTATTGCAGGGGTCAGCAACCCCCGGCACGTGTGCAGCATGTGGCATGCAAGGCCATTTTGCTTGGTGCACAACCACCAGCCCGGGCTCTAAGCAGCTGCTGCCAGCCTCAGAGCTCAGGCTGCTCCCAGCAGGCAGCTGGGAGGCTGCAAGCCCTGTTGCAAGCAGACCGGGCTCTGTGGGCCAGCTGCAGCCGGGAGGCTGCAAACAGCTGCTCCGGGCCCGGCATGTCGGCCCTCCAGTACCTTCCAAGGTAGAAATTGTGGGTTTTTTTGGCACTCTGGCCAAAAAACATTGCCTACCCCTGGCTTATTGGCTTAATTGACCTGATTTTAGTCCAAATTACTAAGCTGTCTTGGCCAGCACTTTTGATGATAAAATCAGCTAGAAGATGCTAAAACAAACTTTGTTTCATAAAACCCACCTTGAGAACCAGTAGGAACCAATGTTCTGCAGTGAGCAAGGTTCATAAGGGCTACGTGGATAAAGAGAGGTTCCCAGACAAGAACTGGTAGAAAAACAGGTGCGCCTGGAAGTGCCTTGGCTTGTCTAAACAGGAGGGGAAATGGCAGTGGGAGCTGACTGCATTAATCTTTGGTTTAACTGAAAAGAACAAAAGCTGTACATCTTGTCCTTTTGGCCAAGGAAAAAATTCCCCCAGAGTCAAGGTGACCCACAAAGGTGGCAAGAGTCCTCTTGTTGCTTGGACCACGTAAAGGAATTGTGACCACCTTAGTCCCTGTCTGAACAGGAAGTTCTTGATTCTTCTTCCATCTCTTTGGGTCACCTAAATGCATTGATTGGACCTGTCCATCCAGGAACTGGGAAGTGAAAAGAATGGCCAGCGGGAGAAGGAAAAGAAACAGAAACAACAATCAGCCTCTGCTTTGTAAATGTAAAGTGTTGAGCATGCAACTGAAATAGATAACATGCTTCTATTCTGTTTTTTTCTATATAGTTAACTTTTTCTTTTTAAACACAGACCAAACTAAGGGTAAAGTGCAAAGGGGAGGGGGAGCTCAATATTTTAAGATATTGATGATTCAGCTTGCTAAGTATGTTCTGTCTTAGGTTTTGTCTTCTGTTCTGCTTTTATCCCCCAGGCAGTGGTAGAGGAGGAGTGTATGCCTGTTGATCAGTTTGTTGAGCACTTACTCCCCAGTCTTTTAAGTCTTGCTTCTGATCCAGTGCCAAATGTAAGGGTTCTGCTAGCCAAGGCTTTAAGGCAAACACTGTTGGAGAAAGGTATGCTAAATAATTCCTTTGAAAGAACTAATTTCTTATGAGTTCCATCGTTCCTATAACAGTGCTGTTCTTTACAAATTGCTTTGCTCAGCTAGTAAAATGATGTTCAGTTTCTCTGTACAACAGAATAAGCATGCTATAATCGGGGAGTGTGCAGAACATAATATCAGTGTGCAGAAGGATGACACCATGTTTGTATTGTGTGGATTTTTTTTTCTTTTGGGAAGTTTTTTCCCAGGACTATATATCCTTTGAAGCTGACATTACATCTAATATAGGAGATGTGACATTACATCCAGTAGAGGGCAGTTGTAATGTTTTGTAATGAGAAGTCACACAGTCTTCTGCAGATTACTTTTTAGAGGAAGAACCAGTAAACTGTAGGGAATGGGATGAAAAATTCATGCAGAAGACCATTGAGAAGGTCTTTTTTCTTTCTTTCTTTGCATTTCTTTAAAAAAAAAAAAGGGGGGGGGGGGTTCAGAACATGGTAATGCTAGTGGAATATTTAAAAGGTTCTTTGCAAAATCTATTTGCCATACTCATTCTTCTTGCACCTGCCTCTGTTCCTCGTAGCATCCAGGTCATCTCTGCTATCTTTTCTGTAAGATGGCGCACAGGAACCTCCCACTCTGTCTAACCTCTGATCCTTCCCCTGCTGTCTTCTGCCCCTACCCCTATCCCTACCCCTACTCCAACCCTCCAAATCAGGTACTTTTTTAAAGTAGGCTTTTTTTTAAAGGTTTTTTAAAAAAAAATATATATATATATATATATATATATATATAGGCTTAAAAAATAAAGTATGATGGTGGCAGCCAGCCAGGTTTCCACTCATGCTGGTAGATTTCCACTTAGGACTCAGCAGAAGCAAGAGCCACTTTTAAAAAATAATGAGGACTCAACAAATAGTTCTGCCCTTGCCGAGCAATAGTAAAAGCAATTAAGAAAGAAAAATACATGTTCCTCTTGTCTGGTTTGCTTGGGCTTGCTTTAACTTCCTGAGGGAGACCAAGCCTGCAAATCAGACGAACTGCCTTGAACAATTTTTGTAACTGGGTGAAGGAAAAGGCTAACACTACCACCATGCATGCTCCCTATGCCTGTGACTTGGGTGGGGAAGCAAAAATTTTTTTTACTTTTTCTTCTAATAGGAGAATGTGAATAGTTTGTGATAGGTCTGAGCAGTGTACTGTATTGCAATGTTTTGAGGGTAATGGGTGGGGGGAAGCAGTAGTAGCAGCTGAAATAGAGGGGCATGGGGCTGTGCAACTTTACTGAGGTGGGGAGTGAACCCCCCCGGCTTGGGAAGCACTGATGTAAAGTTAGATGAACTTTGGTTAGATGAACACCTTGCTGGGGTCGTTTGACCCCAGTACTCTTTCCTGCCATGGCAGGGGGGCGGACTAGATGATCTCCTAAGGTCCCTTCCGACCCTAGAAATTATGAAACTATGAAAGTATGGCTTTGCTGAAAACGTTTTTTTTTTTTTTTTTTTCCTTCTCCCCCTTGTTCTAGCTTACTTTAAAAGTGTTGGCAATCCTCATCTAGAAGCTGTGGAAGAAACTGTCCTAGCTTTACAATCTGACAGAGACCAAGACGTTTGCTTTTTTGCCACTGTAAAACTAAAACAGAATAACATGGAGACCACTTCCATTGAAAAACAAAACTGAGCTGTTCACCTGCTATGAACCCTGAACATCAAAATGTTAACATGCCCTGTGTTCTTGGTTTGCCTGATTCATGGGGAGGAGAAAGGAGCAATTGGCTGCCTACCTGAACTGAAAGGAAAGGGATCGCTGACAATGCCACAGTCCTCACTAAATGACCACCTTTGTAGCTACAGCTGTGGATACTAGCTGATCAGTCAGACTTTGGGGATTTTTTCCCTCATAAAAGTGGGCTGTAACTTTCATATCTATCCAGATTTCAGTATTGTATATATCCTCTTATTAAGAAATTACACAAATGTAACATTTCAGTATCATAATGTTAATGTTTCTTAATACCGTTAAAAAAAGTACAACCCCTATGAATGCCAGTAATAAAGCAATCTGCTACAAGCTTAAAGGACTTCCTAAGCTTTGAAGCCCAAGGTTAGTATGCTTAAGTGAAAATGTTTCCCCCGTTTTATTGTGGTTTTTTATATTGTTTATAATATTACATTTTATTATTTTAAATGAACAATGTGTGTATACATATATGTGAATAGCTCCTGCAGCTTGGCAAAAATAATTCACAGAACTTTAATCTCATATCAATGAGAGAGATCGAAGAAGTCATTTCACTTTAAACAGCACAGTTGGCAAGTAAAAGTTAATGTGCATAGGTCACCTTTTACCTTTTAATAGACATCTGATATATTTTAAATCACAGAGGGATTAACTTGCTTTGTATTTTGTGGCTCTTTCTTATTACTTTGTCTTTTTATAAACTGCATTATCATAGCTTTTCTTTGTACACTAACTGTTATCTCCCCAAACATTTCTGTCCTCAAGTGAGTTCATTTAATTAAAATCACATTGGTAGGAGATTAAAATCTTTAAATGTTTTGCAGAGTATGTAAAAAGGGGGGCATGCACATGCACATTCACATAACTTGAAAAAACTTGTATGAGGTTCAGCAGTCATTTTCCTTGGAACCTGCCTCTCTCAAACTTACAATCTATGATCTCCTACAACGAGAGGAGATTCTTGTAAAATATTGTGGTCTCAAGTTTCCAAAGGAGGTGAAGCGCAGGTTTTCCGAGTAAGGAAGCTGACCTACTGTTCTTCACAAATTCTGTTTTTATAACTGTCTGTGGTTGTCATTATGGGGGTTGGAGGTGAGCAAAAACCCCCACAAAAAAAACAAGAAAAAAACAAAACCCACAAACTAACATTGCCTGGGGTGGCACTTGGGACATCAAGACTGTGTTAACCTGATCTCAGTATATCTAACCAGGAACTTCCTACAAGAAGAGAATAAAATCCCTGTCATTAAATCCAACAATTTTATGAAATACCAACTTAAGTTGCAATGTTGATGCCCTTGGCTGTTCCATTTTCACCCCTGTTTTCCCTTGCATCCTAAGTCTAACGTGGTCTATTGAAGTTGGGGAAAAGACGCATTGACTTTAATGGGCTTTGGATCAGGGCCATAACCTTGTTTGAGGAGGACCGTTTATATACTGGGGAAATGTCTCATTTAATGGTAGATAAATTATTATGTTCAGTGTTTGCTCAGTCTGTAAATAGACCAATGAGAGACTATTTCCATCTATGTTATTTCATTACTGTAGCATTAAGTAGTTCAACTGTTTGGAAGTTAAAAATATTGCTCTTTAACTGGATTGTCAGCTGTACGGGAAGTAGCTTTCTCAGCCTGACTCTTGTACTTTTTGGAAGGTTCAATTTTGTATAAATGTCAATGAAACTAGTTTTGAATTATACTGTATAGTATTTGTAATAAATTGTTTGCTTGCAAGACCATAGGTGCTTTTAGAATCTATAAGGGAAAATATATAGTTGCTATTTCAGTAAACAGTCTAAGCTCTGTAAATTCCACAAAGTTCTACGCTTAATTTTTTTTATAATTTTAAACAAATGCCTCTTCAATGCAAACAGATTTTTTATGACTGCAGATTCTCAGCAAAAAAGTCAAGTTAATTTTTTGTAGTTTTAATATCTTTTTTCTAATGCTAACATTAAACTAATATTTTTAAGAGTTCAGATTTTCTAAAATTGTTCCGACCAGGTTTTATTTTTGTTGACTATTAACAGGTCGTTCAGTTTCCAAGCACTGATCACAACTTTTTTTTTTTAAATGTACATAGATATGTTTTTAATGTACTGTATATAAACTGGTTACTTCAAACATCAACACAACCCAGCTTTGTTTCAGCAATCATCTTAAATAGCTACCTTTACCTGCAGTAATCTACCAGAAAACCCAAATGTCCATTGGGTGGGTATCTTTACAGAGGTGGGATAGTTTTCATAATGGGACTTCTTTAATTAAAACTTGTGGGGTGTTTTGTTTTGGTTTTTGTTTTTTAAAAGCCACCAGCTAAGTTCACAAAATCTCTTTTTAAAAAAAAATTGTGCTTTTAAAGATTTTTGGTACCTCTAGCTCTAGAGATCCATGGCCATTTTAAATAATGTGATTTTTTTTTTTTTTTAATTTAATTTAATTTTTTTAACTAGGGCTTTTAAAAACTTGTTAAACTATGGTTGTATGCACTAGAGGGGATGCCATAATTCTCCTTTTAACTTTAGACAGTGTGCAGTTCTATTAATTTGGTGCACTTTTTACAGTTTTGTTTTTTATTTTATACTGGAAATATTTCAACGTGGCTAAAGACTGCACTTTACAGCTCATACCAGACACATGTATGCAATGAAGATTAAAGCTATGTATTCTCATGCAATTCTCTGGGTTGTTTAAATTATGCAAAATTGTATGTTGCAGATGCAGCAAAAGTTAGTCTACTTTCACAAAAGCTGCAAGGATGTAATTTCTTAAAACCACTTTTGACTAAGGGACCTGAAAATAACATTAGTGGTGCAATATTGCTGTAGAAAATTATCGGGCACTTGTAATCCAAAGCATGTTAGTCATGTTGCTTAGAATTCCAACTTGCTGTATCCGCTATAGAGGATATACCCTTGGCATCTAACTGGACACTGCCCTAGTGGCAGTTTGCGTGTCTGTAAAAACAGTGTTGTTTAGAGTCCAAATAAGTGAAGACACTCTGGAAGTGCCACTCACTTGTCAGAATATAGAATCTATGTAACTTTCTATTTGTATTTATCTCAATAAATTCTGCAACTGTTTTACGAAATGTCTCAGAGGTGGCCAGATCTGTCACAAATAGCGTGTGCATTTTGTCATCTTCCACTGCGTGAGTCTGTTATAATGCTGGAGGCTGCAATGGCAGTGTATGGTCAACAGTATTGATTCATTATATGGTTCAAATGGCACCATAAAGAGCTAGATTAGGATTTAAATTTAACATCAATATCTAGTTTGGGCAAAATGTAATGTTGTCATTGATGCTTTTAATTTTGGAATTTCCCCAGTCTTCTGTGCTTGGTGTTCTCAGCCTTCATGTTGCATCAGAAGTCATTTAATGTGGGGAAGGGTGAAGTGGCCAGGGGACTGGATGAGAACACTGCATGGGCAGAGAGCTGCTGGGTCATTTTTGTTTTTCTTTTTCCCCTCAGCCCATCTGAGTGTTGCAGTCTTATAGTTGCATATCCTTATTTCTGCTTTTTTTCTGTGTATCCTTCCTCAAGTGCTTGCCTCCCCATGCATTGACAGGGACATTCATACTTCTCCCCAGCTATGACCACTCCCCGTACCTCTCCCAACCCCAAGTGCCCATCTGGCCTTCCCAAAATGCTCTCCTGCACTCCCTCTCTATTTTTATCTAAGTCCCCCTTTCCTTCTCTCATGTTCTCCACCCAATTTGCCCCTAAGCCTGTCTTCTAGACCTTCCCCCAGCTTTACTTCTCCAACTCCCTGTCTTCTCCAAGGATCAATCCTTCCCTTTTTCAGATTTCCTCTTTTCCCTCAAATTTCTGAGAAGGTCTTCAAGTAATCATAAATGATAAATCCCAAGGTTCAATCTTGCCCTATGCTTTCTTCTGTATGGGAAGAAAGAAGCCTGCATTGCACTGGTAATAGGGATTCATGTCCAACTGGTTCTCTAGTCTGTCCGGTGAGGGGGAACATATCCCCATGGTTAGGGACAGAAGTTGCACACGGACTGGTTTAAGTGATCAGAAACTGGCTTAAACCTGTAACAGAGCATAATTTAAGTGCACATAAACCAGTTTCAAAATGGCTTGAACTGGTTTAAGAGAAACCTGGTTGAATATAGTATCAGACTTGACTGATTTGGGTCAAACTGGTTTATGAAACTCCTGTCCCAGAACCCTTCCTGGTTCAAGTTAAATCACAGTCCCCCAGCATCCCAGCATACTTTCCAGCCCTGGGCTGAGCTGTGCAGCCTGCTCCAAAGAGTAGGGCTGGCCCCACCCCTCTGCTCCCTAGCTGGAGCAGTGAGGGTTGGCTGACAAGGGGATGTGGTGGGGAGGGGCAAGCCCAGTCTGCAGCTCCCCCACCTCTCCTCCCACCCCAACCCGGCAAACTCGGCTGGGGTCTAGGGCCAGGGAGGGGGGTTAAACACCTCTTCCACCACTCAAACTCACTGTGGACTACAGACTCCAGAGGCACCTGGAAGCAGAAAGAGGAAGTGTTGAGCAATCCTGCAGAGTCCTGCTGCTGTAATTCTGGACTGCAAGTCCCAGAGACCTTGGGGGTTCCTGGAAGAGGAAATGAACACACAGCCAGCAGGCATGTGGCTGCATATCTGGAATCAAAGGTAAATGTCTGTTCTCTTTTCAATTTAATCTGTGCAGTTTAGGCTAATCTGCAAAGACTGAATCGATTCAGTCTTGGGCTTTTTGACTGTACCTAGCCCAAGTCTGCAAGGAGATCTAGTAATAGCTTTGTTTACTCATCGGGGGCATCTTGGCTAGCTATGGGGCCGTGCATTATGATTATGATGAAAACCTGTGGAATCTCAACTGTCATGTGATGTAACATTTTAACTCCACTATTTAGCTCAGCAAAGCGGCTGTTTAGCTCAGTTGCTTAGAGTGTTGTGCTGGTTTGATCGCTGGTTGGACTGGATGATCTCTTGAAACCCCTTTCAGCCTTACTTCTCTGTAACCCACATTCAGGGCATACATATGTCACATCATCATGTACCCTGCCCAGATGCTCTGTGACATCGCACTGATGCTCTTCAAATGGTTGCGTCTCCAGTGACTTAGTGAGTTTAATGACAACAGTCCATTGATGGAAGGATCTCCAAGCTAGTCCCCCAACCCATAGGATGTGGCCACGCTCTCGCTTCACTGCCCCCTCCAAGAAGGAAAGGACCAGCAAAGCAGCTCCAGGCAATAGCAGCGCGGCACCCACAGTTTCTCTGCCAGCACAGTTCACTGTCCAGCTCCACCTGCCTGAGACCAATGAGACTTTCTCACTGCCCGACTGCCACAATGACTTGACTATACAGAAACTCAAGGACCATTTGGAGTTACTGGCTGGCATTCCCCTGGATTTTCAGCGTCTCCAGTACCTGGATGAAAGTGAGGACCTCTAACCCGGGGACTCTCCAGGCAAGGAATCCTTGCCACTCAGTATCCTTAATACTTGTTCAAGTCCAAGGGCCACACCTGCCCATTCTTGTGGCACTTAGTACCTGGATGAGGGTCTGAGCTCTTTGTTCTTCCATCCCACTATGTGTATGGAATTGATCTTTTGTCCCAGCCCTTGGCATTCCTTCCACCTGCCCTGGGGGACTGCCAATTCCACCCATCTGTGGCTTGCTAGGAGCTTTGCCAGGTGTGTGAAAAGGATGACCATTTTGTTTCTGCAGCATTTAATGCCTATTTAAAAACAGCCCCTGCCATCCAGTCACCTGCCTTACCTGCACATGTGCGCACACAAAGTTTTCATCTCGATTAGTATCCTGTCTGCCCATTCTAACCATGCAATATGTTCTGTCTTAAGCCCTGATCCTTCACTAAGCTCTGGGTTAGCACAGGGATCTGCCCATGTGGACCTTATTGCAGGAGGGTAAGGTATCCCAGACAGGGACCATGCCTTTGTGCTCACACAATGGGATGTCAACCTTTGTTGGAGTATCTGGGTGCTACTACAACAGAAGCAGTCAATACAGGAGGCAGACAGCAAAACCAGATCAATGCTACGTTCACTAGGGGCCGGGGGGGGTGGGAAGGCTTTCAAATAGAATTACACCCATCAAATAATGATTTTGTAGTCAGGGAGTCTTGTAGGTTGATGTGCTGAGCATTTTCTTTTCTAAAAGCTGTATGCTTTTCAAATGATATCTTAACTTTTTTTGGATTTCCCTCCAGTAGACCTGCCAGATGATTCTACATTTAAGAGCCATGATATTGTCCCTGGTGGGACAATTACTTTGCGCATCTGGCAACATGATGGCTTGGGGCATCTCGTAGCTGCAGCTGCAGAGGGAAATATTCCAAAGGTTGGTTTCATTACTTTTGTAAACACGGGGAGGGGGGCAGCTTTTTAAAGAAAGCAAGAAAGGCGGGTTAGTAAAAGGTTCCTGTTCTGGATGCCCACCTCAGACTAGTCTACATACTGCAAAGGTTGAGAAGGGGTGCTCTACCTCAAATAATGACCTTGGAAAGCTTACTAATGTGAAATCTTAGCTAATTATTAATCACAATAATACTGGAATATACCGGTCTCTCTGAGTGTGGTTTAAAAGGAATTGGAAATCTGAAGATGGTGAATGGTTTGGGCAAGAGGGAAAACATCCTGATCATGCTGATTCCTGAGTAAGGCTAAGTGCTGCTTCAAAGCTCATGGTTCCTCCAAATTCAGTGGCGCTAGCATTGCTGTAGGAAGTCTATGATATCTCCCCAGCACTTGTACGTGCTTCAGTGAAGGCGCAGGAGTGTGTAGCATAGACTGTGGTGTCCCTTGAGATGAGAGAGGTACTGTATTGTGGTTAAGGGCTGGCCAAAGATTTTTCTGAGTAAACTTTCTCAACTGGAAATCGGGTTTTTGAAAAAAGCCCTGCAGCTGCCGTGGCACTCGGGACCCCTTGCCAGGAGAGGGAATGTCATCATGGGGGAGAGCCAGCTGAAGGAGACCCACCTGTAGTGTGAGTTGGGAGCATGAGATGCTGTTGGGAGGAACTTGTAAGAATAGAAATGTCACGAATACTGACACTTTTCACCAAAAACTCCATTAGACAGCTGCCCAGCTCCAGTCCTATCCAGTGTCTCTTCTGGACCTTGGTCTTTGCCTGGTTCCCGCCCCAGTAGTTTTAGAATAAGGCGATGTTTAATATTGATAACCGTTAAATATAATTAGCTGCAAATTGTGCAATGTTTTATTTTGCCAGCTAATAAGTGCAGGTGTTACGAAGGACCCTGTCGGCAGGACTCCCCAATCAGACTTCCTGGGTCCAGAGCAGGAGGCAGACTGGAGAGCACATCGCACATTTGTGGCACTCTACATCGCCAGTCACAGAGGCCATGCTGCTGCTGTCCATTTTCTACTAGAAAACGGTAATCGCCAGAACCGGAAGGTCCAAAGGGGCCATTCTGATAGTCGATGCTGACTTCCTACAGAAAAGGGGGCATCTCCTTTACACAGAAATGTGACCCTTTGGTTAAAAGCTGATGAATTTCTCCTGGTCCTGGTTGGGAACAGTGCTCTGAGAGAAAGCATTGCTTTTCTTTTCTCTCTCTCTCTCTCTTTTTGTTGTTGTCTCCTTCGTATAACCAAGATGGCAGTTCCATGAGAACTGACATGCAAAATGACAATCCTAGGCACTGTGCTCTGAAAAGCCAGGTTGTGGCATTGCAGGCTGTCTCAAAGAGGGCTTAGGGCTGAACTATGTGATTTTTGCCTTTTACTGAGGTCTATTTTTATTATGATTATAGGGGCCTGATCCAAGCCCAATTAAAAACAATGGGAATCTTTCTGTTGGCTTCAGCAGGGTTTGGCTCAGGCTGGATGCCAGCATTTGGAGCATTTCTCTGCCAACTGACTGCTATGCTTTCCCATCACTACAGTGCACAGATCGCAGCATCCCGAACAGCTGGGCTCAGATCCAGACGCCTATTACTTTAAATTTCAGAAAAGTTCTTGACCCCATTGCTAAAGTCAGGCTAGAAACTGCATGACTTGTACAGAGTGGTGGGTTTGTGCTTGCAATTAAGCATTTGTCTTACACCTTTAAGTGCCAGGAACCTGATAAATGATGTATTG